ACTACACATATACTTCTTATATAAAGCAAGTAGTATTGAGTGGTCAAAAATTGTTGTATACCTAGAATCCATACCTAAAACTAAAGTTTTAATGTTTAGCATTAAATATGACTGTAAGGTCCTATAAAAACAGCATAAAGTAGTTATTGAAACAAATACATATGCAGGTATATGATACTCGAGCCCGAAATCTTGATCGTTGGGCTTGTCTGTTTAAAATAATATACAAAAATAATTTGTAGTAATATATTCAAAGAAACTGGTATACCTGTAACCCTTGATAGAGATTGAGTTTTTTAGCATTGGATTTTGCTGTCGAAATAGTAAAAAAAGACAAATAAAAAAGACAAATATAGCTGTGGCCCACAATAGAGAGTAGAATACTGATACCTGGTATCCGCTGTAAAAAAATTAGTGGGGGTACTCAGCCAGATTGATCGATCAAATTCTTGTGTGAATTTTAGCCAATGGTATCAATTTGTAGTTGAGGACACCAAAAGACAAAAGTACAAAATTCGTACAAAATTCATAGATTTTTATAGCATTTATAGAATAATCTTTGCACATTCTGATTTCTTCTTTGAACCTGTAGGCATCTAGACTCTCGAAGAAATCAAGTGCTCTTTCCCTTTACTCAACATCTGGCAATACATTGTCAACCTTGTGTATGTATTTATTGGCTTTAAGTGTTTGTTTAAGCTCCTTCGCGGCAGTCATCTGCTCCAACTTTATATTAACTTCCTTTTTGATTACTTCTAAAATATCTTTAATAAGTTCGTCTGCGCTTGCTGATAAAGACTCTACCAGTGTTTTTTTTCACAATAAATTCCCTGATTTTATGCGATTTCTTCAAGGCATCAATTGCTTGTTGCTTTGTACTATATTTTGGCATGTAAGATGGAGAGAAAGAAGTATTATATAACTGTTGGCAATAAATTCTATGATTTATTAAGGAGAAAGATAAAAACAGTATCGTATTGCATATAAAAAGTAAGGATTAGGTTAATCAGAGAGCCGTACGTTTTTCGATCAAAATTTGATCGAAATTTGATCTTTCAAAAAGACGATCAAATTTTTATCGTCGCTATTACAATTATAGTCCAATAATATGGCGTTCTGAATTCAAAATTTGATCGATCAATCTGGCTGAGTACCCCCATTTATTGGTGTCGGTTTTTAAAGCGTTGAGCAGCTTATAGGGACACGAAGGTATGACCGAGGGCTTATTTTTTGCTCGACTTGTATATACCATGGACAGCCGTCTAAAAAATAAAATAAAGAATATTTTGGTTTTTTTTTAAAAAGAGTGCGCTTCCTTTTTGTATTGCGTCGCTTTTGGTCCACTTTGAGTTGCAATACAATATGAATGTCGATCCCCAACAGGAATGAAGATCCTCAACTGGGATGGCGGAATGTTGGGAATGTCGAAAGAAGATTCAAGCCATCGTTAAAAAAATATATTTTTTTGTTTTGGTTGCGGTACAGCAAAGGTTATTTTAATACACACTTCTCCCCGAATAGTTTTGAGTGAATACTAAATGGTATTTCAACCTCCATATGGATAACAGTGTCCCTGTCGATGGGCTCTGCTATGGTTCTTTTACGATTGGGTACACAAAGGCTGTCTGCACCACAAATTGATAATATCAGTCTACAAAAAGACTTTTGTTTGTAGGAAGTCGTAGGCTCTAATTTACCAATGAGCCTCTACACAGTCTACAAGAAGACATAAAAAGCAAACCACCTTATACTCTATATTTTATAATGGTACAGCCAAGATATCGGTGGACAAGCTGGTTTGTGCGTCTATATGTGAAGAAAGACTGGGATGTATACACTGCACATATACACCTTGGAGACAGGTATTTAACCCCCAAAAAAAAAAAAGAAAAAATGCCCTTATTAATTTAAATTTTCCCATTTTTTTTTTCTTTTTTACTTCTTTACACCAATTTACTATCATAATTTTAATTAATAAATCTGAAACAAAGACTTCAAGTATGCTATTTAATGGAACACATAAAAAGTATCCTATGTATTTTTCTTTTCTCTTAAAGGGCAATATAAAATATCATGACATATATTACACAGCCGTCCATTTCAAGAGTGTCTGCCAAAGTCATTGCCTTTTTTTTTGGAAAAAAGATTGTGGCTTTATTTGTACTCCACTCTTTGCTTCCAGCGTATGCTTGTAATGTCAGAATATAGGACGGCTTTCTTCATATAAACGTTTATACAAGCTGATATTCTGTTATGTAGAGCATATATAGATATATAGCTATTCTATAATGTCTCTTATGCTAAATAATATTCTCTTTTCTTTAAAAAAAATATCTCTAACTTTTGAACACTCCAAATTGATGCCTTTTGGAGTGTCTGGTTTATGTATTCAACTAAAAAAAAATTGTACTTTTAGAAACAACTCGTATTTTTGCTATTGGGCATTTAAAGAGCTTATTGAAGTGGTGCAAGTTTCCCGAATTTCAGGGTTCTATGCTTTTTGAGAGTGAAAAAATCGGATATTTTGATCAAAATTCGAGTAATTGTAATATAATAAACCTCGAAGAGGTGGATCACAATGTGTCTCACCAGGTTACTTAAAGCCAAAAAAAAAACATTGCTTATTTGATTCGATTTTTAATTTTCTATAATTGAAAAGCTATGATTACCATTGGTGTGCATTTGCATATGCTTGTAGAAATCTTAAAAAATATCATTTCCAGTACACTCATATTTAATCGACCATAGAAAAGGTTCATTTATACAAAGGCTCCGTGCTTCAAACTAAAATAGTCTCAAGCGAACCAAAGCTAGACTATGAACCTCAAAGTAATAAGTGGAATCATACTATACAGTACTGTAGCGCATTATATTGTATTACAAAACAAAAGTTATAAATCAAAGCCTTTAATCCAACAGAGTATTATTTCTAGGTTATTCGTGCATCCAGTTGAGTTTGGTATACAAGCGCAAAATATCAAAAGCACTAGATCCTATAAATCGATAATTAGTAATCGATAGCGTCTTGCTCCCAACCAAACAAAACCTATACGTTCAGTAGCAGTAGATTGTCTCTTTGCTTTCATATTGTGCCGTCAGTCAGTCTGAGCAATAACAGAAAAAAATAGTAAATAAGCAGAGCCTTTAAAAGGTGATTTATATATATGTAATAGCCATTTTACTAGCTTGATCTATCTGTGACCAGGCTAGCACAATTGCAAGCACCACTACTTTTTCATGGTGTATAATGTAACTTATATAAATAATTATAATTATCGATAGAATGGTGTATATTTGAACACATATAAATGTAAAGTGTTTCAGGCAGTTGGGTTATTCTGTATTAATTTCTCGGTTGGATTATGATTGGTTTATAAAGTAGTACAAACCAAGGTCGATTGACAAACACTAGGCTAGACCCTGTTCTTCTTTTTACTTTTATTTTACTCTAAGACCGATGCTTTAACTTGAGGTACCAACGACTTTCAATAGTCAGGCTGTCAATCCCTTCATACTGAAGCACTGAAAGTACTTTTATTTCAAGAAAGTATTCCTACACTTTGTGTTTATTAACTCAAGACACTGGTGAAAAAGCTAGAAGAAAAATGGAAGTCTTTCACACGAAAGAAAAGAAAAGATATAAGCAGCAATTTTTTTCGGGGGTGCTTCTTAAACTAATAAAGTCACAGCATGTGAAACAAACAAACAAGAAAACAAACAAATAAATATACACAAGACTTTAATTAAAGCTTTATAATCAACACAACTTTACACTTCTTTATTGTAGTTTAACGTCTAGCCGATTAATACTTTGTATATCAGTAGTACAGCTAAAATGAACACAGAGGCATATATAGTGTCTCGACAAGTGGCTGTTCAAAAGCATAAGCCTTGTTAACAGAATCACAACAGAAAGTAGAATAAAAAAGGGGATGGGGGTCCATAGCAACTGAATAATTTGACATGCATATAGTCCACCAATCGGAAGACATCATTTAAATGTTTTCATGCTAAAGTAAAGTCTGGACCACTATTGCTACTATGCTCCTCTAAGCCCCATGACACATGTGATGCTGCACGGACAGCACGGACCTTATGTGACATAAAAAGAACTAAAACAAAAAAAGAGGCAAAAGAAAAAAACAAAAAGTAAAACAAGTGCCTGCACAGCACGTCCTTCAGAATATAAGTGATACTTCTTTAAAACCCAAAACCCATATTTTAAGCATAGATATTAAATAAAGAAGTAAAATAGTAATAATATATACATGCTGTCAAGGCTAAAAGATAAAAGAAAACCGAAAAAGGAATAAGAAAAAAACCGAATTTTATAATATATTATCAAACTATCATAATAAAAATAATAAAAAAGAACAGCAACTCATGATTGAGACGTCATGAGTTTTATAAAAAAAAACACCTATCCAAACAGAACGCGTCAAAACAACTCTCTTCCACATACTATTAATACTTTATACACTTCTTTACTGCTCTCTCACAAACTGCTTTAATCAACATAGACGTTAAAGACGAATCATAACCAATAAAAATCCATTTTGCTAGTCAAATCTCAGGCTTTTATCATATGTAAAACTGTCAGTAGCAAAATATAAGACAATACGTCAAAACCAGTACACAGCAAAAATGAAATACTAAGGTCCAACACTGGTTTGACCATCAATCCATCCAAAGCCTATTCACACTCAGAAACAAGAGATAAACTGACAGGACTTACTATATTTCAAGGAGTATATGATATTCATCAAAGACACACATTGTGAAGATTATATTTGTCTAGTCTTTTGACAAACAAGGTCAACGATAAAAAATAAGATCTCCATCCAGGCCTACAGGTATATAAAGGCTCGTTGATTAATCATTCACTGTCTTTGATATTTCTGTAGGGACTTTTCAGGCAAAGTCAAGCAATCAAGAACAGGTTTCCATCCAGGGCCACAGGTACACCAAGGCTCGAGGAGCATATGCTCATTGTCTTTTGTATGCTTCTAGTGCCTTCCGTCCAGGTCAAGCATCAGGGATCCGATCAGAGTCCATGGTTATCAGGTATATCAAAACTCTATGAGCAGTTACTCACTTGTTTTTGTATATTTGTAGTATCCATTCCATCCAGGTCAAGCTTCAAGGTTCAGGTCAAGGTCCACGGTTTTCAGATCAAGGTCCACGGTTTTCAGGTATATCAAACCTCGATGAGCAGTTACTCATTTGTTTTTGTATATTTGAACTATCCATTCCATCCAGGTCAAGCTTCAAGGTTCAAGTCAAGGTCCACCGTTTCAGGTATATCAAAACTCTATGAGCAGTTACTCATTTTTTTTGTATATTTGTAGTATCCATTCCATCCAGGTCAAGCTTCAAGGTCCAGGTCAAGGTCCACGGTTTTCAGGTATATCAAAACTCGATGAGCAGTTACTCACTTGTTTTTGTATATTTGTAGTATCCAATCCATCCAGGAAAAGCATCAATGTTCCGATCTCCCAGCTATGGTCATAGTTATAACAAAACCATATGTGCATTTACTCACTAGCTTTTATCTATTCCTAGTTTCAGCCATCCAGGTCAAGTGTCAAGGACCCGATTTCCCGGCAATGGGTATAGGTATAACAATTTGTTGTGGGAATATACTCACTAGTTATAATATATTTATAGTGTTCAGCCATCGATATCAGGCGTCAAGGTTGCGATCTTCCAGCCAAGGTTATAGGTATAACAAAACATTATGGAAATATACTCACTGGTCTTAATATGATTTTAGTGTTCAATCATCCAGGTCAATCAACAGTATTCTGATCTCCCGTCCATGGTTATAGGTATAACAAAACGTTATGGCAATATACTCACTATTTTAAATATATTTCTAGTGTTCCGCCAATCATGTCAAGCGTCCAGGTTCCCATCTCCCTGCCATGGTTATAGACGTAAAAAACATTAGTGACATATACTCACTAGCGTTAATATATGTCTAGTGTTCAGTCATCCAGGTCAAGCATCTAGGTTCTGATCGCCAATCCATGGTTAAAGGTATAAAACAACATTATGGGCGTATACTCACTGTTTTTATCTAGTTCTAGTCTCCAGCCATCCAGGTCAAGCATCAAGGTTCTACTCGCCCGTCCATGGTGGTAGGTATAACAAAATTTTATGGTCATATATTCACTAGCTTTAATATATTTCTAGTGTTCAGTCATTCATGTCAAGCATCAAGGTTCCGATCACCCGTCCATGGTAATAGGTATAATAAAACGTTATTGCCATTTACTTACTAGTTTTTATATTCATTTCTAGCATCCAGAAATTCAGGTCAAGCGTCAAGGACCCGATCACCCCTCCATGGTCATAAGTATAAAACAACATTATGGGCATATACTCACTAGCTGTAATATACTTCTTGTGTTCAGTCGTCCAGGTTAAGCATCAAGGTTCTGGTCTCCCCGCCATGGTTATAGGTATAAAAAAACATTATGGGCATATACTCACTAGATTTAATATATCTCCAGTCTCCAGCTATCCAGGTCAAGCATCAAGATTCCGATCTCCCCGCCATGGGTATAGGTATAAAAAGCATTATGGGCATATACTCATTATTTTAATCTAGTTCTAGTCTCCGGCCATCCAGGTCGAGCTTCAAGGTGCTGATCTCCCGTTATATGGTTATAGGTATAACAAAAATCGATGAGCAATCACACTCGGCTTTATTTATTTCTAGTGTTGAATCCACCAAGATCATGCTTCACGGATCCGGATTCAGTCCGTGGCTATAGGTATACAAAAACTCGATGAGCAATTACTCATTGGATTTTATATATTTCTAGTGTCTACTCATCCACGGCAATTATCAGGATCCGATTTTCATGAATTGTTATAGCTAACCAAGTTTCCTTTAAACCTTTACTTAAAACAAACTATACTCTTTATTTATACTTTCTTTTGATGGCAAAGAACGATGATCAAATATACATCCATTATGGAGGGTATACAAGTCGTTCTTGGCCATTACTAGCCTAGAAGTATATATGACTATTGTTTTTACTCTCCAGGCCAAACAGCAAGGATCAAAACTCAAATTTGGGCTACAGGTAAACAAGTCTTCTTGAGCTTTTACTTACTGTCATTTATATATTTCTAGTGTTTTTTTTTTCCTTAAAGTTCAAATATCAAAGATCTGATTTCAAATCAAGGTTACGGGTACACACTTTTCTCTCTGTCTTTACATGCTTTCTTTCGTATTGGCCTAGTGTGTTTACGATCCGGCTACACAATGAAAATTTTGTTTTCCTTCCAGTGCGACAGGTATATACATCTAGTTCGGCCTTTAGTTACTGTTGGCTTTATTTCTATACTGGCTTCACAGTCCAAGCCAGCCATCATGGATCCTATATCCGTCCATCGTTACAGGTATACACTTCTCTTTGGGATTTTACTTACTGTCGGTTTTAATTTTCTACTGCCCTTAAAGTCAAGGCCAACGACCAATCATCTGGTATCCGCCGAGAATTCCAGATATAAAAATGTTATTGGGCCGTTACTTATAATTGTTTTTGTTTCTCTAGTGTCCTTGCAGTCAAGGGTAACGAGCAAGAACCCGGTCTCCATATTGGGATATAGTGTTACACATATCTTTGATTTTTGACTTGCTGCAAACTGTATTTTTTCTCGTGACTTTACAGTCAAATTCAACACTCAAGGACCCGGTTTCCATCAAGTTTTACAGGTATACAAATCTGACAAGTGCTTTTCTTTAATGTGTCTTTTTTTTTTGTCAAGTGCCTTTACTGTCTATGCCAATGATTCCGAATCCGAGCCCTATCCAGAGTGACAGGTATACAAATATGTTTGCGTCTTTACTAACTTTTAGTTTTATATGTCTAGTGCCTATACGGTTTAGGCCGAAGAACTAGGACTTGATATTCATCCAGACTTGCAGATATATATTTTTCGTTGGGCCGTTGATTATTGGCTTCTTTTATCCGTCTATTGTTTTTACTGTCAAGGGCAACCATCAAGGATTCGATCTCCATCCAGTATGACAGGTATACACTTTTCTTTGGGTTTCTACTTATCGCTTGTTTTTTTTTGTCTAGTGTTTTCACCGCCCAGGTCGAAGAACAAGGATTTCTTCTTCATCCACGGTTACAGGTATACAATTCTCTTTTAGCCTTTGCATAACGCTTGTTTGATTTTTCTAATTTCATTAATGTCTATGCTAAATAATAAGCATCTACTCTCCATCTAAGGCCATAGGTTTAAAAAATATTTTTAAGTATTATTTTACTATTTATTAATTAATTAATTATTATTTTTTAATTTTACACAGCCAAGGCCAATCGATCCAGGTTTACTGTCCTCTAGGGTAACAAGTATATGTACATACCTGATCGTTTACTTACTGCTTGTTGTTTCGAGTAATTTTTATTTAGTCAAACTGAATTACCAAAGTTTTACTATCTACCTAGTGCCCGAGGTATACAGGTCTCATTTAGTACTCACGTATCACTTATTATTCTGTCTAGCTTTTTTATAGTTTAAGCCAGCAATCGGGTTTTTAATCTCCATTAAGGATTAAAGGTATACATGACTATGTGAACCTTTACTTACTAGCTATTATATTTTCTAGTCTTTTTACAGGAAAGGCCCACAATTAATATGAGTTGTTTATCCGGGGGGGGGACAGGTATACAAATCTGCCAAAAAATCTACTTACTATATATTTGCATAATGTTTTTACAGCCGAAGCCAACGATCAAAGCTTTGATATTCTTTTGGGCTCACAGGTATAAAAGTCTCTTTGACTTTTTAGGTACTATCAGTTGTTTTGTTCTAACCCTTTCTTCTCCGTAGCAAGCGTTCAATGCTCAGCTCTACATCAAAGGTCGCAGGTATACAAGAATCTTTAAGCAATTTACTAAAAAATTAGATTTTCCTAGCGTTTACATAGTCAAGGCGAAATGATCATGTTCTTTCTATCCATTCAAGGTTCTAGGTACACACGCACATTTTAGCATTTATTCTTCACTGGTTGAATCTTTTTAATCTTTGACAGTCCATGCCGAGAATCAAGGTTGCACTTCAAAAAATAGGGTTAAGGTATACATGCCTTTTTAAGCATTTACTTACTACTAGTTGCTTTATTCAGACTTTATACAGTCGAGACCAAAGATCAAGAGCCCGATTTCCGCATAGATTTACAGGGATACAAGTGGCTTTCTTTACCCATTAACATATTGATAGCTGTTTGAAGCAGTCTTTTTACAGTTCAATTCAACAGTCAAGGTTCAAATCCCCGTCAAAAATCACTGATATACTGCCACTTTTTAGTATTTACTTACTGCCAATTGTGTTTCTTTAGTCTACTCACAGAAAAGGCCAACAATCAAGATGCCACTCTCCTTCTTGGATGTTAGGTATACCAGTATCTTTGGGTATTTACCTATTACCAGCTTTAGTTCGGTAGTCTTTTCACAATTGAGGCCAACACCCAAGATTCCATAGTTCATGCAGGGTTACTGGTATATATACCTCTTTGAGCATTTGCTTGGTGTCTGCTATATTTGTCTAGTCTTTTCATAGTCAAGGCTACTAATTGAGATTCCGCTGCTCATCTAGGGTAAAAGGTATATATGCTTTTTTTTTAATAGTTAATCATTGCTTATTGAAATTGCCTAATAATTTTACAGTCAACGCTGATGATCAAGTTTCTGCTATTCGTCGAGGTAACAGGCGTACACCCTCCTTTGAATATCTTTCTGACATCCATCATATTTATCTAGTCATACCATAGTCCACACCAAGGTTCAAGAGTTTAGTCTCCACCCAGGTTCACAGACATTCAAGTATAATTGTCCTTTTAGGACTGCCGGCTGCTATTGACTATTGCTTTTAATATATAGGTCAAGGGATAAATTTCCTACTCTCAACCATGAGCCACAGGTATCACCGTTTATTTTGAACATTTATTTATTATCGATTACATTTGATTAGTATTTTAAATCCGAGTCCAACGATCAAGCTTCAGCTTTCCGGGAAGGGTTGAAGATATCCATGTATCTTTGATTTTTTTTAATATCGACTGAATTTCTCTGGCGTTTGCACATTCAAGTCCATTGATCAAGTCTTTGGTCATTATCAAGTTTCCACTCAACATTATTGGGTAAAGGTATATAAGATTCTTAGATTACTTTTTTACAGCCAATGTCATTTATCAAGCGTTTTTAGAGTCCTGGTCAACGATCAAGATCCTGCTATTAATTCAACGTCTTAGATATATAAGTGTATTTAAATATTACTTTACTACTGATTCTATCTATTTAATCTTTTTTTTTTCTTTTTCTTTTTTACATTCTATGCTAGCCCTCACGGCTCTAGTCTCCATCAAGGCTTATAGACATACAAGGTTTTTTTATTGGAATATGTTCTTACTATCAGTTTTAATTTTTCTAGTAATTTCACAGTTCATACCAACGATTAGGCGTCCGATTTCCATCCAGGGCTACAGGCATACATCTTTATTACACCATTTACTTACAGCCTGTTTTATATGTCCAGAATCTTCACAGCTCATGTCAACAGTCACGGTTTTGACCTACATCTCCAACCATAGGTATATATATATTTCCGAGAATTTACTTACTATTAGGTGTATTTTTCTAGTGTTTTTACAGGAAAGGCCCACAATTAATATTCCGACATTTTCCTACAGTCATAGACATACAAGTCTCTTTGAGCCTTTAGTTACTTTAAGCTGTATATTCCCATACTTTTTACGGCAAAGACCAGCGATCAAGGTTTCACTCTCCATAAAAATCCTCAGGTATACAAAGCTCTTTAAATATTTTCTTACTATCAATTAGATTATTCTAGTGTTTACACAGTCAAAGCCAAACTATAAAGCCTCTGTTGCCCGTCCAAGTTCTCCAGTATATATATATATATATATATATATATATATATTGAGCATCTACTTACTGGTTGTTGTTTTTAGTTATCTTGACATAGTCAAAACCAACGATTAAGGTTTCACCATACATCCAGGGTATGAGATACACATGTCTCGTTTAGTATTTAGCTATCAACTATTATTTTGTCTAGCTTTTTTTTATATTTTAAGCCAACGATCAAGTTTTGAGTATTTATTCATGATCACAGGTATATATTTCTTTTTGAACATATACTTATTGTTGGCTTTCTTTTTTTAGTCTATTTACCACCAGGGCGAACGATCAATATTCCGCTGCCCATTTTGGGCTATATGTATACATGACTCTTTAAGCAGTTAATACCTGTCGCTTTTATTTGTCTAGTCTTTTAATCGCCAAGTCCAAAATGTATGGCTCTGCTCTACATCATGGGCCGTAGGTATACAAGTCTCTTTGTGAATCTATTCACTGATGGTTATAAATACTTATAATTTCACAGTTGGTGCCAAAGATCATTGTTTAACTCTTATTCATATGTTACAGGTATACATTGTTTAGTTGCCCATTTTTCTTTGAATGATGCTTGTATTTGCTTATTTTTTTTTCTCTTCGTAGTTTAGGTCAATTATCATGGTTCTATTCTTTATTAAGGATTAAAGACATAGGAGGGGTTTTTAAAATTTTCTCACTGAAAATTGTATTTACTAATTTTTTTTACAGCCGATACCAGGTATCAGTATTGCTCTGGGTAGTACTGAAAATGGGCAATGAGATACTGCACGAATCCTGGACCCCCTTGGATGCTCGTCAAAAACAGTTTGTATTCCAACATAATGCACTTTCCTCATACACCTTGTGGCAATCCTGGCACAAAACATATTTATGAACGCTTTTGTTCATGGATGAAAAATCCGTTTTGTGTTTGAGGCCAGAAATGTTCGATGGCAATTGTAAATTCTTCTTGTAAGTTGTCTAGAGCTTATTGATGAACTTTATCAGGATGACAGCGCCTTTGTTGGCCACATAGCGGGGAGCTAACATTACCACAAAAGTAGTAATGATCCTGTGCACTGGGTTCTCAGGCATATCGGGGGGGGGGGGGGGCAAAAGGATCTATTGTAAAAAACCAAAAAAAAAAATCATCTCCCTTTTTTTCAAATTTTTCTTTCTTCCATAGCACAACACCAACCTTCATTAACAAATTCCTCGACCTCCACCTTAACAACATCTTCATTATTGTTTTCTTTGTTTTCATCGCCATTGTCTTTGCTGTTGTGAATCTCCTCATTCGTAACTGGAACATTCTCATCGTCAGACACTGGGGTTCCTTCCCAAGCAAGTAAGTTGGTCTGACCACACTCTTCTTCCGTGGTTCTGGATTGACATGTTTAAATGGCTGTATTTAGAATATGTTACATAATTACGCTCTATTATTTTTATTTAAATAAATATTTCCTACGTTCAACATCAACCTCCATCGAATTTCTTTGGGCAGAAGATTCTGTTAAAACATGTTATTTTTTGAACTACAAAAAAAATAGAATAGAATAGAATAATACTACAAACTGCGTACCACTTTCACATCTTATAGCATCTAATCTTGCTCGTTTGTTATGGCGCTGAGCAGTTCTTCCGGCTACAAAACTATAGACTAGTTCGTTCGGACTACATCCAGCGCAATAGCACTTTTTATTGTAAGGTTGAGGGGTTGAGAACATTGTGTTTTTTGTTAAAAAAATTGAGAAAAAGGAAACAGGTGCTACATGTACTTTATTCACAAAGTCTTTATAATAATAAATAGAATAACTTTTGTTGCTTGTTATATCCGAGCCAATAGAATACAGTAAAGCTGTGTTTTCAACTTGTGAACATGGAAAACTATCCCACATTTACAATTGTTATCAAACAACTGTGCGCATTGTAATTTCCACCCTTTTTTTCAGTGTGATCCGTTCTCAAACACAAGCAGTTATGACAGCTACGCCATTGAATATTGATGAGGGTACCTTCTCGATATCTAACCGTCCAATTGCTAGCATGGTGCAGAGCTACATCCATATGCAGCCTGAAGTAGACTATGTTTTGTCTTCAGTCGTGGAAGAGAAAGCTCGTAGACACCTTTCGTATAAAATTCACAGCGCAAAATCTATGTCGGAAAAGTTAGCTGGGCGTAATCGGTTTTCTCGTTGTCGAACAAGAAAGATAAGAGTAAGTATAATCCACGGTTTTTGTTTAAATAATTTTAACATTTTTTTTTCTTTTTACAAAGGAGTGTCATTTTTTTTATTTAGAATTCCTAATTGTTGATATTATAACACAGATCAAAGAATACTTTAGCAAGTTAAAAGGACGGAGAAATGATCAAAAAGAATAAAGGTCATTAGCTTTTCCAAGTGTCCAGCTATTCCAAGAAACGTCGAACTTTTGAAGAAGAGAAAGGTGCGTGTTGTTGCATGGAATAGCACACCGCATAATAAAAAAAGTACAGAGTATATAGTATTTTATTGATTTTTATTCATTGTTTTGAAAGATGTGGGTTGAATCGATAAAAGATGATGCGGTAGTAATGTCGAGATGGGAAGTAATAAATAAATAGTTATTTTATTTTATTTTACTTTATTTTACAGCCGATTAATGAAATATATATATATATACAAAACAATTATTTAATTATATAACCTTGATTGTTTTATCCACGGTTTTTTTTCGTTGGAAATTGTAATATCGCTCTCTGTAAGTTTATTTTGATAAAAGCTAAGAAAATGGTGGGCATTGGGTATTAAATATACAGGTATTTTGTCTTTCAAACTTTTGATAAAAATAATAAAAATAAAATAACGGTTTTTACTATTCGTTGATAATAGAATTCAATATAATTTTAAATATTTGATAAAGAAGTAATGCTAAAACAAAAGAAAAATAGAGAGATAAATAAAGGCAAACCCTTTCGCAGTCAAAAAAACTCTTACTATAATTATTTATATTAGTAATATAAATCATTCTATTTTTTTTCGTGACTACTTTTCTAGGCAGTGGGATGACTAGGCGCTTTTGGATCCCACCCTGGATGTTGTGCGTAGTCAACGCGAAATACGAATGCAGACGATGCACCGGGATGATGCACGCAATACTCTTCTTAATAAACCCACTCACCCACAAATTCAGACCTTACTCAACTAACGGCTTAATTCTGACAGAATGGCATGTCGCAAATCTTTTTAAAAAACCAAACGTTGACACTTTTGATTCTACCAATCTTGATGACAAGTAAATATGTACTCAATCTGACCAGGGAATTTAGAGATGTCGTCAACTATCCTACCAAAAAAAAACGTAACCCGCACAATTGAGCTGCGATATTTCTTCTGTTCACTAAAAAACTCCTGGCCAAGCAACGAAATATTCTTCATCTTCTGAATGCAAATGTTTACCAGCACATTCTCACCAAGTGAAATACTCCCCACGCCGCAGAAAGAAAAGTATTCTGGTAAGCCTTGACATAGAATTTGAATAGCCATTAAGAGTAATCATACTTCATCGTATTCAAATTTTGTAACTTCAATGGCATGGTAGTTGGTAGCGACGTCTTAGTTCCGATTACATTGTACCATAGGCTGTTGACGACTTGCTGGAACATCGGGAGGTCGAATGGCAATGCAGGAGGATAATCATTAACAATACACTGAAGACACGGTAGATGAGATTCAGATAGCACTTGCGCGACGCCTTAGGAAAATATTATTATACGCAGCAGAAGATTAATGGAATACACAGGAAGAAAAGTGTCAGTGAACGCATTCTCCGGAAAAACGCTCATTACTGTCACCTCTAGACCATTACGGTAGTTTGTCTTAATGTTTTTTTTAACTTATACTTGTGTATCTTAAGGTTATACATCCAAAATGTAAAGACCAGACCAAAGTCAAGCATCAACTCACACAAATGCATATTTGGTGTGCTACTCCTTTTTTTCGTAAATACTCTGACATTATTTCCCAAATTTACCAAGGGGCTGGCCTGCGTAGTCTATATGTAAGTACTTGTTCAATGGACCTTTCAATTTTCGGCATGTCTTGGCAAGATTGGTCTAGTTATTGTAATCACTTTTGGGCAAAAACTCCTTCAACACCACCAGAAAATGCACCAGACACAACGATCGCCACTCACTTGCCTTCATATATAGGAACTAAGGCGTGACTTTTTCGAATAAGACGGTATATTCAGGAGGAAGAGGAATATCATCAGCAAAGCGTTGTATACGAGCAATAACAGCAGCGGAAAAATACAAAGACATTTCAAACACTGGCCATACGGTTCGCTATCACAAGAAATATATTGTGCGTGGGATCAACAATCATGTAAGCGATGCAACTCTGAAAACTGCATGCCGTTCTGCTTCTCCAAATTTTCTCTTTCTACATCTGATTCTGTGCAAAACCACATATTGTCATATATGGAAATCATCTCTTCCGTCCGTGATTCCCAGTTTTCATTGTCACACCCAAAGTAATTAATCTTACTTGATGCAGTAATCACGGAGAAATATCGTTTGAATTTATGGCAGCCATATGTGTTTACATGCCATGTTCTGGGAATCTGGCAGTATCTCTAGCAGCAGATATCTCGGAAGCGACATACATGATAGCAGTATAGACAGTAGTACCATTAGGGAACTTGGTAGTCTTCACAACTATACCACCATAACAGTCTACCATCCCATCAACAAATGTTTCCAGAGAGCTGTCCGTCTAGTCGTCCTCTACTTCCTTTGGACCAGGCATGACATCAACGAGGATAATATTTTCTGGTCTCATGTGGTCTTCCTTGGGGAAATTGCTGATAAGTAAATACAAAGTACCACATGTATATGCCCAGCCTTCAAACAGCTTAAACCAATACACATTCAATGTCAACATGAGAGAATGGGCATGATTTACAAAGGTCTCGTCGGCTTCACCAAGAATATCAGTCTAAATTGCATCATCGTATACGTCCGTCACCGTACTTTCTATTATTTTGCTTGATCCCTAGTGCACGATTTACTAATCGGACCTGACTTTGTGGAAATGTTGTGACAAGATATTTTCTCAGTAAGCTGTAAGGAAATACCATGAGAGGGACTGGATTCTCAATTGTTGGACCGGCATACAGAGAATTACTGTCATAGATAGATGGGGTGGAATGTGCTTCTCGGAGGAACAGTTGGATTGATGATACTCTGGTAAGTATATGACAACACGTTTGATACAGATGGTGTACTTGAAAACGGTTTTTGTCATAAGATCGAATCCAGACATGATTTTCGATACATCAACGGTGACATGTGGATCAGTATCCTTCTCATAGGTAACAAGAAAGTATTGGAATAATTTCAATATTATAGATCCTCCCTGCTTGAACCAAATAAAACACTTAAACGACAACACCGAATAGAACCATAAGTTGAATTGCTTGAGACATGCCATGCATTTTCAAATATAGGCCTACAGAAAGGCAAGTGTTATGATAAGTATCATTATTATCTGTAATATGATTTATGTATATTTCTTTGTTCAATAGGTGCATACCTGAATCCATCGTATCTAAATACTATGACACCGACAATGTCAGCTTCATTCTCATCGTTGGACTCCTCACTTTAATCCGGATAGTTATTGTCAAATGGCGATAGTAGTGTCTCAGTATCATACTCTTCTTCGAATTGAAAAGGTTTGTCTTCTCTCAAAAAAAAAGTATACTATGTGTGGCGGTTTCAGGAAATCTAATAGAAGAAGTACCTTTATCTACAATAATAAAAATAAAATAAAAATATGTTTTATACGATTTTTTTTGGTCTTGCTTATTGAGATATATCAGTCTATTATCAATGTAATTAACTCTACTAAGCTTACGGTCTCTATTAGTAAGAATTACAAATTGAATTCTATATATATCTTTTAACATAATGACAATAAGGGTTTTACTAGCTATCGATGCTTGACAATTCGTGGCAGCAATGCTTTAACTACTATTCAAATAATGTTCAATATAAAAGTACAACACTTGTTGGGTGCCTTTAATATTTTTGAGTAAAATACTTTTGGGTGTAATAATCTTGATTAAAATATCCGTGAGTAAGATTGATTATAAATATTATAAATATTATAAATATCATTATTAATTGTACATCTAGCACACTAATTGTTTGTAAGTTTCGGTCAAGTCTCGACAGTCAATCATTTGATCTTTTTGTTAGAGCAACCCTTTCAAATTCGATATTTAACAAAAAAGGCGTTAGTATATATATATATATATAATATTAATTACCAAAGTACGGAAATACACGATAATCATTATTAAAACACGAGTTTAAAGTAGGCAGGGAAAGTACGCCAAAGTACATCCCTGAGTACGCATTTTACTCTCTCGTAATGATATAGCTCTCGATACCAGTGAGTTTCATTTTATATTACCAACCCAAGATATTATAATGAACGTCACAAGTACTTTGTAACTCTAATGTCTTGAATTCAAAAAATAAAATAAAAAATAAAATAGTAACTACGATAGTACTCGACAGAACCGTGTATATATTTGACAGTATAGAAATACTTATCTTTATTTTTTCTATTAACTTCTTTTATTAACAGCTTCTACTGTATTTAATTTAAGCCAAAAACCAAAAAAAGAGTACTTGTATATGTGATACTCAGAGTCAGATATCCTCGAAGTCTTTAAGAAATTATATTTATACAGTAGAATATTGTTTTTCATGCTAATTAACCATCCATAGTTCTAATTAAAGCAAGATATAGTATCTTTGTTTTCAGAGAGGTTCTTGTAGAGAGCATTAAATGTAATTGCAAAAATATTTATAAAGCAATTAGCAACAAAAGTTTTGCATTTATTGTACAGTTTTTAATGCACCCGAGGTGGTCAATATACTTTACACTTAAGTGGCTGCCGAATAAAAAGAAAAAGAGAAATAAAGACATGCTTCCATACTAATATATCTTACTTGTCATGAAAATAATCAGTTGTGCAAATCATTAGGAATGACGCTACTAAACTTTTCGACTAGTTGGCGGATGGGCATAGATGAGCAATTATTGGTTTTGGTCGTAAATAAATGAATATGGTACATCAAAGGAAACCATTCTGCGCACACACCCGCACCTACGCAAAACAATCGGATCCAGAGCATAATCAAATAACACTGGATTTATACGTTTTTATATTTCTTACCATTTTATCATTTTTCATGAAAATAATTAAACTGCCAACACAAAGCAACTGTCGAAAAAACAAAATAATGTTAGTATAGTTGCATCTAACCAAGACTTATATACCATCACAATCCTCATCGCCCACCTTTATGACAACAATTCCGCTAATATTGAAAGGCAAGTAGTTATTCCTTTCTTTTATATTGCTCATTCACACACACAAACGCCAGCTGTACCAAGATTTAATTTGAGTTGAGTACAATTTTAGACAACCCAATTTTTTTGTCATTCTTTCTTTCTTTCTTTCTAAATTCAGTGCAATAGATCTCTGTTTCCTAAAAAAGGATTAGAGAATACATAGAAGCGCCTGTAGAAACAGATAATTTTTTAACATCAAACAAAATACATAGACTCTTGTGCAGAGTGAAGAAACGCGTGATGAAGGGTACAGCTGCAGTATAGAATAACAATAATGAGAATAGAAAATGGTTGATACCTTTGATGTGCGGGATGAGGCCAAGGTATTTTAGTTGACAATGAACGTGAATGAGAAAATATTTGGGAGTTATTGGAGTCTCACTTTGACCTCCATGTGGTCGATGGTTTTAACCTCTTAAAATACATTACCATTGTTGTATAACTTATTTATTTTTATTACTGTTTTGTAATCGTTCCAAATTCTATCTACACAAAGAATCAAAATGGGGAAAAACATCGTTTAATTGTTGTGGCTCAAAATTTAAATATTATTTATTTATTTATTGAGCTATGTCATACGGGGGATAAGCCAATCGTCTACCTCTCTTGCGATGCGTACTGCCTGTTCATACATATTTTCCCAGGGGTGGAAAAATCTTATACTTTACTTCCTTGTAATTTTATGATTTTCTGGTTCTCTTCCTTTTTAAAAAAAACCGATTGACTTTCTGTGGTGAAACTACTTATTCTTAAGTTCTTTACAAAACAGATTTAACTTATTGTGCCATCACGGATACTATTATCACTCAAAATAAACTCTTTTCACAATAAAAATTCATATTAGTTAAGAATATTGTGTCTTATTTTTTGAACCATTGTAATCACCGTGAATTATCCCAAGCGTATATAATGTATAAAAGCCCTTTATTTGTAAACAAAAACTTGCCCCACCAATAAATTGGCTTTCGTTTCTGATATGTAACGCACCTTTATCATTACTCGATTTAACATGAAATGGAAGCTTTTCTTTTGTACATATGCTTTCTACAATAGCCATAAGTACAGACGCTATTATTACCACCTTTTTCTCATGAGTATTAAACCTTTACAGTAAAAGTATATTTTTCGATCAAGGTATATACCGACAAACGAAAATTAGTTACCATCACTGCACACGCCTACTCTTCTTATTATTTACCGTTTCATATATATATATATCGATTATCCCTATTTTTGCCGATATATACTACAGGGAGCCTAAAAAATATATAAAATAAAAAATCATAATAATGTGGCTTTATCATACAAAGAGAATGCGAGTAATTGTTTTCTAGTTGATACATATCAAAACTTGCTCGTGGTCTTGGTGAAAGCTTGCGCTTTTAACAAATATAATATATTTTTAGAGATGTTCTTAGTAAAATACGTGTGTGCGTACATGTGCGCATGTGTATGATTGTAGTAATTTCAATTGTAACTTTCATGGCAAGTTAATGTGAATATGTATGGTTATTGAAAGAGATGCACACAGAAGAAAAATAAAATAAATAAATAAATAA